GGTTGAGTATTTGGAATGGAATCGTAGGCAGATGACAAGAGGAAAAGGAGTTTCTTCAGCAGAAGAGGATTGGGTGAGATCCTAAGCTGCTGCCTGCAGAAAATGGAGAATTCAAGGGGGATGGTTTTAAATCTCTCATGTCCAGCAAGATAACTTCATGCAATATGAAGAAGCTTAAAATCAGGATTCTGGTTTCTAATTAAAGTTAGCTAGATTTGTTATTAACATTTTTTGTTTGTTGTTTCACTGTTGATAATTTTCTGACCTACAACTACTCATGAATTTTAATAGAACTTCCTGAATAATTTTGGCCAGAAAATAATATAAAGTAGCGTGACTTTGTTATATAATCTGTTTACATTTATGGACCAGGGAGTTAAGTACTCATTCTGAAAGTAGGAAACTAGGATTCAGTTCCCCTTTCTGGCTGAAAAAGATTGAAATACACATTTATTGAAAAGTGACCAAGAACACCATAGGAAAGGTTTCAATCCCTTCTACAGATCCTGTTCCACTTTGCATAAACTGAGCCAGAAAAACAGCAGCAGGTCAGAAATAGGACCTCTCAGAATTATTAACAGATTAAAGTGTGTTTCAGAGTGGGTCTTCCTTTGGTTTTCTTGCATTGTCATGAAAATTAAGTATTCCATCCAAATCAAAAGTAGTATTCTATTCAACGACAACAAAAAAAATCCTGCATTTTTAATTGGGAAGGAAAAAAATCAAACTGTTCCTGCTTTCTTCTCTGTTTCAATTCAGCATCCATCCTGACAAATCAAAGGTTCACATTGCTGTATTTTCAATCCTGATTCTTTTCTAGACATTCTGTGCTGTCATTTAGAGCCTGATCCAAAGCTTTACTGAAGCCATTGGAAAGATGACCAAGTTTCCATATTTTACAGAAGAGGTGTAAGGTGGTGGGAATTTTCATTAAGTGGTTTCAGACCACTGGAAATGAACTTCTCAAGCAGTTGAAGTTATTGCTACCCTACTGTCAGAAGTTACACTTTGAGATTACATTTAAAACAGAGCATTTAAAATGAAATTTTTAACAGAATACAGTGTGCTGTAGGAGTCTCAAGCACTTGTGTGACAATCTTAACTATTCCTGGCTCTTGATGAGGAGAACAGGCATGAGAGATGGAGGATTTGGTTTATTACCCTATTATATTTCTTGGTGGAGACACTGGGATAATGTCATTTATATTGTATTACTTGTATTATGCATTTTAATGGATAGTGCATGGTCAAGAGTATTTTATTTCTGTAGGTGCTAAATACGGCAAGTACAGTCCCTTCCCTCATGTCAGCAGTAGGGTATGGAACCAATCTACTGGAAATTTAGAAATTAATCTCCTCTATAAATATTGATTTGAAAAATCCTTTTTTTTTTTTTTTACAGGATTTCAATCTTTTCTTGAAGTCCTTAAGAGCTGACAACTCTTCTGTTCTGTTATTCTGTACCCAGTTCTCGACCTTCCCTGAATATATTGCCATTAGTAATGAATATTTAAGTAACATCAGTATTGCTTCTTTTCTTGGTAAAATGTGTGACTTCTTAAGAAATAAGTCTACTTTGAGTATATTTGTTTGTGGAAAGCTAGTTTATGGAGTACACTAACTTTTTATAAGTATTGTTATGCCAGCTTTTTGGCAGCAACTCACCAGGCAATGCCTATCTAGAGAAGCAATTAAGGATGAGGGACTTAACTTTTTTGACGATTAAGAATGGGTACAGCACCTGCTCAAATGTCTCCTTAAACATTTAATTGAAGAATGATATCACACTTTCAACTAGTAAAAGTTTCCTTTCACTTTTCAAAGGGCAGTTGCCAGCACTGGAAAATGTCTCTCGACACACACTGATTGCAGCATTAAAGGCAAATATTAGGATGAGGGAACAAGGATTGGGTCTCATCATCATACAGAATGGGCCATATCTTCAGATAACAGGCCTTGTTGAGAAAAGCTCTGCAGCTAACGATGGAAAGCTGAAACCAGGTAAAAAGAAACAACAGTGATATTGACATTTAATAGCATTGAAAATATTCTTGTTCTGCGTTTATGCTTTGAGCCTGTCTCTGATTTATTTACACTTACACAGATCAAAAGAAACTCAATTTAAAATTACAGAGAAAAGAAACTAGCACAAACTGTATAAAGCTCAGTGCCAGCATTCCACTGTAATGAAATACCTGTGATCTTAAAATAGCTGATATGAGTGACTGTTTCATAATCAGATCAAGATTTAAGTCTATGTATTGTTCTCCAGCAAAACCAGATTTCCTATTCATCATCAGGTTTGTCCAAAAATAGTTTGACTATGACTTTTATATAGCAACTAAACTTGAATAATACCATTCTTTGTTCAGTGCATTGTTGTTCAAGGAATTTCACTCTACAAGTCACACAAAACTTCCTGAAGGCTTGAAATTAATTTGCTTATTATTTGCTTTTTATTTCCCTTTATTATACAGAATAGTTACAAAGTGGCAATGGACTAATCTCTGTGCTCTAACAATCTATGCAGGTGTTCATTTGCTAAATGCTTTAAATGTGAAATGTGCCATATCAGTACTACCAGACTATTACTAGTTATTAAGGTTTCTTGTGGAACATCAGACACCTATATTAAGCTTGTAATTGAAAGCACTGTAAATTTGACGGCTTCACATGGGTCCCCAGACCAATTAGATTAGACTCATGAACTACACTTTGGGAATGATAGTGTGTTATGTTATTACCAAATATTAAGCTGTCTCTAACATAGAAATCTATGAAGCTAAGACTTGAGTGTAATGAAATAATTTAGAAATTTACTGGCTGTATAGTGAAAATACGTATCTTTAAATTAGAACAATTTTCCCAGCATTGCCTTTATAATAGTTTCAGCAGTCCTTTTTTCTCTCACCTTTCAGAAAGAATTAGAATTCCAAGCAATAGGAAGAAAGATCTACTTGTTTGATGAAATAAAAATCATTGAGTGGAACTCTTAACCTCCTTTAAGAAAAGGCTTTGCACTCTTGATCCAAATATAAAAATCCGTGGAAAAATTCTGAGCATAAAATATATCGGATTTGAATTAAGTACTTTTTTTTATTACTGTTATCTTAGGAGCGGATAGCTTTCATCTGTTGCCTAAAAGAAACCTATGGTATACAAAAGCATATATATGATACTGATTTGGTTGTTGGTTTGTGGGGGGTTTTTTACAACTATAATATAAAAAATACAGAATATTGATCACTGAAACTAAGTAGTTCTGTTTGTAACACTTTGAAAAAGGCAAGCTCCAAAAGCATTTTCAATGAAGGCTACTAGAACAAGGAGTAAAATTATTTATGGCATGTGTTTGATTTATTGCAGCAGGTATTGAACGGCTTAAAGGGGGCTGAGGACCGGTAACAAACATTGTCCCTTTGTAGCTGATCTTGGGTTTTGGAGCCGAAAGAAACAATTTGAGCATGCTTCATGGAGCACCTGGATCTAACTCGGCACATTCCACACACACACAAAAAAGCAAACTGATGAATTTGTTCAATTCATGTTTAGAGTGAACTTAACAAAAACTTTGTATTTGAGATCAAAGCTGTAAAATTTTGCAGAAAATATAGTATTTTGTAAAAGCTCCGTCTCTTAATGATACCACAGGCAGCACACTTATTTTGTCACTAATACCAATGTACACAAAGAGCATGGGGCTTGAGAAAAATAAGATGCACAAATGCACTCCTTAGGAGTTTTTTTTTTTTTGCAGTGAATTAGGTTTTATCTTTATGGACTTACTTTTCAGTTAAGTAAGATGAGTATTATCTGTAGAATTTCAGACTGGATCCTAAAAGAACAATTTTATTACCGCTTATAGCTTGAAAGAGCTTGTGCTATTCTACTGACTTTAACAGAGGTAGTGGGATGCAGTGATGTTTTAAAATCCTACAGTTATACTCAGCAGACTTGTGTGTACATATGCATGCCCTGTTCTCCATGCCAGCCAGAAGAAACAGGGCTGCTTAGTATGTGTATTTCCTCAAAATACCTTTGTACTACAGGAGGTTATCTCCACACAAATCTTCAGTGGCCACAGAATGATGTCAATCACAGAACTGATAGGTGAACTGAAGAGCTGCATCGTTCAGACTCTAGGTGTTGGAGCAGAGGGGCAAAATTACCTACATCTGCAGTTTGGAGATGGCTGTGACGCGCAACAGAAGTGTTATCTGTGCAGTATGGGCAGAAAAAAAACAAATTCTGAAAGAATCTATTAAAAGCTGAGAGTGTCTTGCAGATATTTTAAAGCATAAGTACATTTATGTCTGTGCATTTTGAAACATGTAATTTGAGTGATTTCCCTTTCTGTTTGAGGCTGAGATCTTACATAAAACTGTTGGTAAAACGCCTTCTGTTGTTTTTTTGGTATCTGCTCTCCTGGTACTTGTTCCAGAACTTCTTGTTTGCACACTAGTAGAACCAGTATCTTGTGATAAGCTAGATTGGAGAGAGGGTGTGATGATGATAGAGTAGAAGGAGTAGTTAGTGGAAAAAGTATATTAAATAACGGTGGTCAGTAGTTCAGGTGAACCATTTTAAAGCCTGTAAATTTTTGCTGCAGGCATTTTTAACCCAAAAGGGTTATGAAGAAAATAGAGCAGATGGAGAGAGTCTCCTTGCTCTGCCTAATGTGGCAGCAGACAGCTGTACTGCTTGTTTAAATCTCTGTGCTGGTCTGTTGCAGTTCAGTACATATGTTTACTGATAATGCTCCTCTGCAACTGTTTCTGCTAGGCTGCTGCTAGAGCTGTCTACCTGCTGCAGATTGATTCTGCGTGCCTTTTGCAGTCTCCAATATTACAGGCTTACCGAGTAATCGCAACTCCCCCCAGCCCCTCAAAGCCCATCTTGTTATATCCTGTGGTACATACAGGTGCTGGGGCTTCGGTACTCTGTTGTTCTTGGATGTAGTACTGATTTTTGCAGAACTGTAGCTCAGTGCCTTCCACTAGCAGCAGGTAATAAGAACATTATTTACAGCCTTATCCCTGAGAATAAACAAACACAGAAAACATCACCACTGCTTTCTGCCGGAACTCCTCAGTTAGATTCTGCACCAGCTTTTGTAGGCACCTCCTACTTCTCCCCTGGCCTCACTTGACATTGTCTTGCAGCGTGCCCATGTGTTGGTTGTTCTCAGAGAAGAGGGACAGGCAACCAGCCACTGAGGAGAGTCAAACCCTGGAAATCTCCAGGGGCCCAGACAAACACAAGGTGACATGGCTGTTACACAGATTCTCCAGCATCTACACAGGTGCTCTTAGCCACTGTGGAGGAAGGGGTACGCTTGGCTCCATACCAGCAGATAACCAGCAAGGTGACATACAAGGGTAGGCAGCAGATATGTACAGACAGGGTATTCCAGCTGCGAACAGGTACAGGGAACAAGTGGAAAGATGCCAGCAGAACTGTTAGCAGTGCAGCTATGTAACCTCAGCCTTGCTGGAATCTGTCCAGTCCCAAATAGTGGTCCTGATCAGAGTATTCACCACTGTACCTTTATCTTGCCTAAACTAAAAACCCCACAGAAATGGAAGGTAGCACTGAATAAGCAATCTAAAGTTTAGCACATTAATTAAAAAAAATCACAAGGTAAATAAGTGAACTGCAGCTTTCCTTAGTGTTGTGAAAACGTTAGTTCTTAACAGAGCTAAAAAAACTTTAATTAAAAAAGAAAACAAAACTAAAATTGCATCCAGTTGGTTTGAAGAGCTGTTATACACATGCTTTTACATAAAAATGTGAAAGTATAGTGGTTAACACTCCATATTTTGTAATATGAACATTTAAAAAATGGAAAAAGTCTCTTGGCCTGATTGCTGTCAATTTTCTTCCTTGGCAGGTGATGTTCTAATACAAATTGGACATGCTACCATTTTAGGATGGACTCTGCGAGAGCTTAAGCAACTCCTGCACAATGTTCCTGTAGGAACTGCCCTACAAATCAGAGTTTACAGAGATTTTATTGAAGTACCTCAACACTGGCAAAGTGCAGTTGAATTAATTCCTGAAGTAAAGCTTCCTGTGATGACAGCAGAGTAAGAAATAAGCATTGTACATAACTAGAATTTCACACCTTAGTTATTATTCTAGCAAGAAACAAGAAATAGTGTAGTAGCTTTTTCATCTTAGGATAAAATGTTAGTCTAAAGATTTACTTTCGTTTATTTTTCTGAAATAGAAAACTGTGATTTGAAATGAGGAAGTACCAAAAGAAATGTTTACTTTTCTAGTCACAGTGAATACAGGGTCAGGACAAACATTAATTTTAGACATGCCCCTTGTGGCCTCCAGAGACCATAAAAGCCTGGCTGGCAGTAATGCCACCGAGTCCATTTGTAATAGCCAGGGATCTAGAGGATTACAGGTAACTGATGACACCAAGATGGAGTCATGCTACAACCATGTAAAAAGCTTATCTACTTCTTAATCAGTCTGCCTACTGACAGTGGTTAAGGGTTATGACTTTTGCAATTAAAGAAAAATAAACTCTTCTTGTGAGAACCACTGCATACAGAAGCTTTTTAAAAATATATTGCTCTCAGTCCTAAAGGTGGCTCATAGCAAGTATAACTCATTGAGATGCGATACAAGGCAGTTATAAGTTTTCCTGAGGCACAAAGTTTTAACAGAAACCTCAGAGGTAGGGGAAGGAACAGAAGTGTTAAAAGGAGATAATTAGGCTAGAACAGCAGAAAGGGAGCCCACGAAGCAAGGGGCTTTCCAAGAGATTAAACCTTTAAGCTTATGTTTAAATAAATCAAATTATTTGCTACTCTGAAGGAGCAGAAAAAGGATAGCTTGCTTTTCTGTTGACCAAATTACAACTTAGCTACTACTGAGAGTCCAAAGGAAACAGTCTGCAAAGGACTATGGATAATAGTATTATTTTGATATTAGGGAAGCTTCAGAACTAATGAACTTGTCTGTAGAAGTAGTATTTGCAATTGGCTATGGGAATTACTGCTTGTTAAAGTAATACCACGCTGTATGTTTGCAGCACAGGTGAAGATGCTGAGGACGAAGGCGACACTGGGTCCAGTAGCGATGATGATGTAGACTTGGAAACTTTTCTGAATAAATCTTCCTAGTCATACTATTGTGAGTTCACTCATAAGTTACCATCAATATCCAAAATCTGGCAGATATCTGATACATACCAGACACTTAGAGGAGGTACAGACAATGGTTGCAGTGTTGTATTTCACTGTAATGTTGATGCATTGTGCAATCCTAAGTTCGATGCTAGTGGTGTTAGACCTTCTTCCTACTGGGCTATGGAAAACAATGAGACCAGTTCCTCTTCCTCCTCCCCGTCAGTATCAGATACATCCTCTCTGGAAGAATTTGCATTTGTTTCAGAATAGCCCGGAAACTGACTGCCTCAAAACGTACATTTCTGAAGTTGTATATCTGTTTCCTTTTAATACATGCCTAGACTTCCAAAAAATCTAAATGTCCTAAGATATTTGAAATTATGTATTAGCTGTATAAAGCTGTTTTAGCAACACCCTCCCTCCCCTCAAAGATGTCTATTAATGCTTCTTGTGGAGAAGACATTCAGAAACACTATCTCTGCTAGTTCCAGACAAGTAGTGGTTGCAAGCTCTAAGAAGGTCTAATATATTCATCTTTCTTTGAAGGTAAGTTTCTTCATTTACTTGATAAAAGGATGGTAAAGATAGTTCATCAAGAACTTTTCCTGAGCATACAAGAATACATAAGACAACCAGTGGCAATTACAGTATTTGTCTGCATCACAGTGATTTCTGATATGTCAATTTTTTACATTGATTAAAAGTGACCTTATTTTCTCACTGTAGTTTTACCTTCAGTGTACAGAGCCAGACTTGTCAGTATTAGATACCATTTTCAGTGGAAAAAACTCAACACAAAATGTATGAACTCAGCACTTTATTTGATGAGTGCAAGCCCACAGTTACTCCAGATTAATTTTCTGAAAGAACTGAATTCATAAATAACAAGTTAGTTGTAATTTGTTTAGAACATAGGTGACTCAGAGCTCAGGTCCATCTTGAATCCGCATCCCAGTTTTGTTTTTACAACTCATCAAGAAAAGGAGTATTTCCCAAATCCCCACTAGCTGCCATTGATTTCTTCCCATTGACAAACTTCTTCGCAGCCTGAAAACAAATCAGAAAGATGGATATAAGGAAATATTTGCTACAACAGTTTATCTTGCTGCTCATAGCCTCAGCTTCAAGTTATTAAAACAAACAAATCCCAGCTACTGCAACACATATTAGTCCTGACTGTGAAAAAAAACAAGTTTTCTATCTTATAATTTCTCTTTCTGATGGATTTCTGTATGAAGTTTGCTTTATAAACAAGTTAAACTGGAATAGCACTGCAGTTATGTTCATTTATCTTTTAAAGCCTAATTATTTTATTAAGCACACCAAATATTCAATCCTGTAAGACTTGATGCAGTAGTGCCCTGCCCTGGAACTAATATCAAGTTTTCCATCAGTTGGCAGTTTTGGTAAATACAAGTGAAGTAGATGAGAATTTCACATACTCCCAGCTACACTAGTTTTACAGGGTATTGGATTAAAGGGTCTTCTGTTCATAAAGTAAATACATCAAAGGATAGCCATCTGGGATTTGTAAATGAGTTGCCTTTTTTTTTTTAGAGATAGTATATGTGCATGTTTGCAAACACACACAAATAAACACCACTTATGTATTAAAAAATCTTACACAGTGCTTAAGGAACACCTGTAGATGCTGACACATACTTACATTCACAACATCAGCAGTGGCTACAGAGTCGATTTTTTGAGCAACAACAGATGGTGATGTGTGTGTGCCAGAAATCAATGACTCGGAGCCAATTTCATTCAGTAACCCTTCTGCAGTCTCCACTGACATCAAATAGGTGGCTTTCAGCTGATTCCTGCCATCAAACAGAGTATTAAGGATGAGTAAGTGTGTAAGTCCTGTTATTACCTTCCCCAGCTCCCCTGTAAGTGCAATGAGTTTTTGGTGCTTTTTAAGTTTTCAAGATTCCCCTCCATTTTGAAACTTTCCTTTTCAAATATGGAAGGGTTCTGTAGTTAGGAAAGGGGCACCACAAATAGTCCAAGCACGACTGTGACAGCGTACTTGAACAGCTACTGCCTTGGCATGATCCAGCCCATACAGTCAGAAGATCTCTAGCTCAGAATTTGTTTCTGTTTGAAGTAACTAATGTAGGTACTCTAGGAATTAGATAAACTAATCTATCAAGTTTAAAAAATAGGTTTAAAATTGATTCCAGCTTCTCATCAAGCACAGATGTATGCAGAGAGATTTTGTTGCGACAAAGAAGCAATGAATGTAAATAGTTAGGCTCCTTGTGCAATAGTTCCACGTTCTGTTACAAGACAGCAAGTTTATCCTGTTTTTTAACATTTCACGCAATCTTACTGCTACATATAAAAATCTTATTTTTATAAGCTAGTCCTTCTATTTTTTTAAAAACTGAAAATGGTAGAAAATGGTTTATTCCAACAGAATATGAATAAGTAGCTTGGTATTTTTGACAGAATTGCAAGAGACTCTGCAAATATCACTGACCTTGAATTTGTTTTTTGGAGGGTTTTTTTTTTGGTCACTAAAGGAAAAGGAGCAATATAGAAAATATGTGAAGCCATTTCAGAAGGGAAACTCAAAAAAAAAAAAAAGCCATATCACTGTAACTCCCTAATACTAGGCAGCTTTGTGACAAAAAAAAACCCCAAAACAAACCAAAAAACCCCACAACACACAAAACTAATAATGCCAAATATAAAGGTCCAAAATTCACCATTTAGCTATTAGTGACTAAGGCACAACCAATCCTGTCTAGGTTATCATGTTTTGTGTAATCAAGCTCTAGGCGGAGTCTTTTAAGTATTTTATAAATGCAACAGACAATATTTTAATTTTTCTGCTTGAGTCAATCTGTACTACGTCGCTGTGTTGCACAACTACGGTTTCAGAGGCTCAGTGCACTGTAACAGTACTTGGAGATCAAGCACCAGCTAATGTGCATGACCCACTGTAAATTAGAAACTCCAAAACTTTGTTGGTGTTACTGTATCTCTAACACTAATTTTCCGGTGTCTCAAGTATCCCCAGGGGCATGCATTTTGAGAACTTGGATGTAACATCACTAATTCAGTGCTTGACACTTGCAGACCCTCATTACTACTATTCTTTGAAGATGCAGAAGATTGCTTAATATAATTGTTTTGTGAATTGCTGCAGTGCAACTGTAAAGGGAATTACCTAAATAATGCAATTTAGGATTCTAATTTCAATACATCTTGATACTACAGCGTATGACTAAAATGACAGCATCTGATGATACTTGCTAATTTCTTACACTGAAAGAGTTTTCACAAAACATTAATACTCATCTAACAAGTTTTTATTAGGAAATACACTAGCGGAGAATCAGTATACACTTTGGAAAAGTGTATTCAAAGTGCTTTGGTTTTAATGCAGGAAAGTGAGCAGCTCCCCAAAGAAATAATTACGGGGCAGTAATAGCCTTGTTGTACAGAATAGTCTAAGTGTTTTGGTAAGTAGCTACACGTTAACAAACTTCTTTTTACAACACACAAGACAGTTCTTTACACACTTACTTTGCCCTTGTGATGTCGGCATCGGTGACGCTGCCCTGAGCAACTGCCTTTATCTGGTTCAAAGCAGCTTTAATGACCTGAGGAAAATGACATCATTTAAGACTTCTTCACACATTAAATTTTGGCATGTTATTTCTATTATCTGACGTCTTAGAAACTTCAGGGGAGAGCAGCTGACAATGTTAGGATTGTCTGCCTGAACTCAATTCTGAACAGCTTTATAACAAAACTAAGAATGCTGTAATAACTGCTCAAGTGAGACACAAAAAATAGCGTGGATTTAAATTGCAACGCCACATTCATTCGTATGATCTCACCACTTGTCATGAGAGCATTCAGTTCTGCCAGTTTCAAGAGCCAGCACATTCCTCATGATATACTTACGCTTACACATGTAAATCAGCACTTACAGTCAGCAATTCAAGGTACTGTACTAGCTCTAGTTCATAATTAGGTATTTGTACTTCCCAGAAAGCAAGTCTCATTCCCAGCTTACAGAGCTAAGTCATAACTGAACATGCAGCATTCTTATACAAGAAAACAGATGAACTTTTTTTTTAAATGAATCAGTCACTATCTCAAATCAAAACAGTAGGCTGAGGGTTATGTTGTTAATACTTACATTCTAATCAGCAACTCACCTCCCCAGCATTCGGAGCCTGGGATATGGTATAAACCCCAAAGAGCCCAGAATCGGAGTAATTAACATTAAATGCGGAAGCCTGCAAAACAAACATCATCATCAATGGTTTCAAGTATCAGAACAACTCAGCATCAAGCACAGGAAAAGAATTACTATTAGGATCTAAAAAACTGTAATTCCAGAAGCTAAACTCCATCTGTGGAGAGGAAAGATCAGATGGGAAAGCCTTCTCTGAAATATTGTAACTTGTACAAGAATGGCCTAATTAAGATTCTAGCTGGCGTTAGTAGCATCTCAAAGGACAATATGCATTTTACTTAAAATATTGGAGTACAGTAACCCTTTGAACTTACGTCAAATGGATGGGTAGTTGCTTTAGCAATACCCTGGGACAGTTTGCTGGTAACATTGCTTCCCCTCTTGACGAGGGGTCCAGCACCTAAAACATGCTGAAGAACACTGAATGCATTCGCTTCTGCGCTCCCAGCAGCAGCTCCTTCTGTTACAATAGCAGCATGGACAAGGCTATCACCATTCTGTTCTCTGATTTCTCCTAAAAATATAACAACAGAATAAAAGGTAATGCAGTGTTCAGTTAGAAACTACTGTATGTTCAGAGGTACAGAAAGGAAAAGTTTCTAGCCAGGAGTTAGCTTCACGAGAGAGAAGCCAGGGTGTAAAGTTATCACATGCCCACTCAGGAAGGCAGCAAGAAGCTGTTAGTAGGCTCTAAGTAATTTTAAAAAGTCCTTTACATTCAAAAATTTTATTGCAAACACAAACCCAAGTACGTTCCTGTGCCTTATTTGAACCTGACCCTAAACCATACACAGTATGAGATTATAAAACTCAGTGAGTACCCAGATAGCAAATATCCAGAAAAGTACCATACCTTCCATGCTGGAAAATTAATTTTTTCCCCTCTCTGTTTAGAAAGTGATCTGATACTCCAACTAAAGAACAGCTTGTATTAGTACAGGATACTGCTCTGAAAAAGCTAAGCATTGCATTGTCTTTTATGAAAGACTTACGAATTTCTGACAGATCTTCCCTAAAAAAGCCTTAATCTACTCTTAAAATAATCCCCATGGAA